TTTAAGAAACAAAATATGAATTCAGTGTTGAAGTTCTTTTCGAAGCATAAATGAGGGTTTATAATTTGAATGACATTTGTAAAGTAAATGTTTATATATCGAACTTATTGAGTTATTTAACGATTTGAGAAAAGATATTTCTTAGGAAGAAATATTTGAAAAACAGAAATTTTACTGAAGTTTTTGTTTTAATGAGTTATAGAATTCATGAAAGAATTTGTAATAAAGAATTTCTAACAATGATTCTACATTCACCTTTATTGACAGCATATTAAATGGTTCTCAAAAGGTAGAGAGTTATAAAGTGAAACTATCTAAATGAAACTAGATTAAGTACATTAATTAATCAATGAATAATTTAATTATATTACATCAAACAGTTTATTCAATCACGTAACTCAATTGGATGACATTACATAGAAAAACGACGAAAACAGCTGATAGGTATTGGAGGAAAGTGTGTAGATGAATTTTAAAGAAAATACATTTAAACCACAATAAAATTATGAGTATATACTTGTTTCTAAAAACAATATTTAACATAATTATTATCAGAAGGGGTTTTGTTGAGATTGTATTAATTTCAATAGTTGAGATTATGAGTCAATTGAAGCTAAACTACCATAGAAAACCTGGAAGCACTGGACGGAGGTCACTCAGATTCCAGAAAATGGTCATCAACAATTCAATAACTTAACACTTTACGAACATATGTCAACAGCTAATACTAGTAAATGTGAAGGTTGTGGAAATGTTTGCAAAGATCAAAGAATTATAAATAATACTGGTACTCCACTTAATCTAAATGAAACATCTGTAGATAATTATGAAAATAATGAATTACTAGATTTGTGTTTTTCATCAACCAGTATAGTGATTCCAGAATCTACATAAAGTAATTAAAACTGAACAACTATTTTTTCTGTGTCATATAGTACTAAAAATTTTAACCGCATTCATTCAACGATGCATGATTCATAACGTTGGATTTTCTTTGAGTGACCGTTCATTACCTTGGTTGTAGAAACAATTAGAAGTATTCATATTATTAACTAAAAATATGTAGTGCTTACTGATTGATTTTGAATGTAATTTATGTAGCTTCTAATTCACTTAATCTTTATTCTTGTCAAGGATATAGTTCATATTAAGCTTATTATTACATAAGTGACATTTTGCGTACTTCTATATTAAGTATGGTTTAAATTAAAAGTTTCAAGTAAACACATCCTTAATTCTGATATCGATTATTTTTAGGAATACTCAGATTATATGGGATTTGAGTCCTGGATACTGAATTTGTGAGATTATGATTGTAAATAATTCGTAAGGTATCATTATTATCGAAGAGTCATCATAAAATGAAGACAGATTAAAAGAAATTCTAGTAGTTGTTTAGTAACATTTCTTAACCTAATTTAATGGAAATTCTAGATTTTATAAAATTGTTTACAGGAATAAATAAACATCAAACATACTCATACAATCTTGTGATGACAGTAAGAAGTACAGCTAAGTGGATATTATAGCCATTTGTTTACGGAATAGAAAAGACAATGTTAAGGTTTTCATTACCTGTAACACTTATGTATCCAATCAATTATTTGAATATAGTTTGATTTCTATTTAAGTAGCTAAGATGGTCAGTTTGTCACACCTAAGTTGTTCACACAATGTAATAAGGATTATTGATTACAAATTTCGTGAGGCGTGTATACATCAAACTTTATGAATCACTTTCAGGCTGCAACATAGCCTTTAAAAGGTTTAATGTTGAGATACTTATAAAGATTATTCATTATCGGTTTTATCTAGTACATTATGAATAAAAGTGGTTATAGATAACACCATTCCTTGTACGGATGTATGCACATAACTATGAACAAATCTTAACAAAAATATTTTAGTTCTCAGCTACAAGCAAATAATATGAATGATTTGCTTCGAATGTCAGTCAAACAATCTCTAATGAGCTACAGCCAGGAAACATTAAAAAACCTAGATACTTTATATTCAGATGACAACCCCTGAAAACGTAAAAACGAATTCAGTGAAATATAGTTTAATGTGATTTGTCACAGCAAACAGATTTCATCTGATGTTAGAAACAATATACAGGATTATCAGGGCCATAATATTTATTACTATTGGAGGTCAGATAAACACAAAATTGAGTAGTTACTTATGCCCGTAACTCCTTGTGCACGGGCATAGGTCAGCTACTAACATTCTCCATCCAACTCTGGCCTGGGAAATCCTTTTAATTGCTGTCCATCATTTCCATATCTGCTTCCAATTCTCGACGCATTATGTTCTTTGGTCCTCCTTTTTCCGTTTCTCCTCAGGATTTCAATTTAGCGCTTTCCTGGTGATGCAGATTGGTAATCGCCTCAATGTATTTCTTGTCCACTTCTAACGTCTTTTCTTAATTTCCTCCTCAGCTCAAACCTGGTTTGTTCTCTGCCACAGTACACTGTTGTTGATGATAACCAGTCAGCGGACATTGAGTATCTTACGTAAACAATTGTTTATAAATACCTGCACCATTTTGATTATGGTTGTAGTAGTTCTGGAAGATTCAGCAGCGTACAGTAGAACTGTCTTGACGTTCTTATTGAAGATTGTGACTTTGATATTGGTTGAGAGAAAGTTGTTTTGAGTTGCATATGTTGTTCAACTGTAGGGGTGCTGTCCTTACTTTGCCAATCCTTGTCTCTACGTGTGCATCAGATCCTCCACGTTCATCGATGATACTGTCCAGACAGGCACATGAATGTTTACACCTATTGCAGAGTTTCTCCATCAAGTGTTATTGTATTGTTGCTCTCCATATTGGATTTGAGGATGATGGTTTTCCATACTGTTGTAGGGGCTGCTGCCACTCTGCTGAAAACTTTTCCCGCTACCGATAGTAGTATGATGTCTCTCTAGTTAGTTGTCACATTTGTTCAGATCACCTTTCTTTCGTATCGTGATGAGGTATCCTTCTTTCCAGTCTGTCGGTGGCACTTGTTCTTCATCCTACATCTTCCTGGGTAGAATGTGGTTATGATTGTAGTTATTTCTATGTACGGCTTCATTGCATAGGCTGGTATATTGTTAAGTCCTTCTGCTTTCTCATACTCCATTTCTCTGGTGGCCATCCATATTTCTCCGATTATTGATGGAGTGATGACTATAGAAAGATCTGTGTGTGTTGCTTCGATGTTCAGTGGTTTAAATGGAGCTGTTCTTTTCATGATTTTCTCAAAGTGCTCTACCCACTTGTCCCTCTGTCTATGAATATCAGTGATTGACCTGCCTTCTTAGTCTTTGACCGGTATTTCTGGTTTACCAAAATATCCCGGCCAGTTTCTTCATTGAATCATATAGTTGTTTCAAATACCATTCTCTTTCAGATTTTAACTCTGTCATTGCTATGTGTTCCATGTATTTCTGCTTGTCAAATCTGATGTTCTTCTTCACTCGCTTGTTTGATTCTGTGTATTCAGTTTGTGACTTGAATTTCTCTGTTGTTGTTGTTCGGCTGTTGTTATTTACTATATTCATGTTCTTCCTTTCTTGAATACAAAACACGGTTTCCATAGAGATCCATTCCTTACCATGATGCTCCTTACTGCACAGCGATTCCCGACACATAAGAGTTAGTGTTTGCTTGATACATTTCCACCTGTTCTCCATTGTAGTTTCCTCTTCTTCCAATAGATCCTGTAATTCATGGAACCAGTTGTTGAGATCTATCTTGAATTGGTTGAGTTTACCAGTATGTCAAATGTAAGGCTGTAATGCTATTTCCTTAGTTGTTCATTGCTTATTCAGTTTCAGTTGCATTCTGGCAGTCCCCGAGTCATTGGTGATGTGAAGCTATATCATCTCCTCTCCTGGTTCTCACGTCTTTCATTGACCTATTGAATTTTCGAGAGGTGCAGATATGATCGATCTGATTGTGTGTAGTGTGGTGTGGCGAGATCTATGTAACTTTGTGTATGCGTTTGTGTGATAATATTTTGCCACCGGTGACTATTTTGTTGAATGCACATAAATGTGCAGATATCTCACCATTCTCGTTCATTCCTCCTAATCAGTCCATGTCGTCCCATGATATTTTCATATCCGGTGTTATCCATTCTGACATTGGTGTTTAAGTCTACCGTGAGTATGGTTAGTCGTTTCCTGAGCACTTCACCATGATCGACTGCAGTCTCTCGTAAAACTGATCATTATCGTTGTCATTTCTATCATTGATGAGTGCACAACATGGGATAGTATTCATTGTAATATCCTCCTTCTCTCTTTTCAATGACGCTTTGATGATTGTGGATCCATGAGATTGCTATCTTGTAATTGCTTCACGTGTTTGTTTGGATAGCATCAGAGCAACTCCGTGAGTGTTTGGAGCATTTGCATCTTCGCGATCAGAGCACTTCAGCATCTCTATCGAATCGAATCGAATCGAATCTATTCTGTTCAGTTTGGCTTCAATGGATTGTACTGATTCCGAACACGATGAAGTTGTATCTTCTCATTTCCGTAGCTTTTCGACTGGTCTTTCCGGACTCACACATTGTCCGAGCATTCCATGTACCCATAATAGTTGCAGCTGTGGTTGTTATAAGGAGCATCGTTCTGATGATTTGCGAAGAATCTCGGGTTTCACCGTGAGGTGTCATAATTCTTCTGGATGAAGATGGTTCAACTGGGAAGACATAGTTTAAATGTTTTTAATTGTTTTTTTTCTGATTAACGTTTTTTGGTAATGTTGTTTTCTACTGGATGGGGTTGGTGTCTCCGTGCCTAACCATCCTCCTTTATTCGGTTTTGGGACCGGTAGTTATAGTAGAAGAGCTACTGGTGGAGTTAAAAATTTGAATACATAATGATTTTTAACAATTTTCGACGTAGCTGGTTACATAGAATGAGAGATTAACGATTTTCAATTTAGTAAATATTTGTTTTAATTCATCTCACAAAACTGATATGTATATAGACTAAAAACTCACCTAATCCATATGCTATTAAATCTAATGTTGTTAAACATCGGTTCAAACCAGTTTTGAGTAGTTCTTTCATATCACGTCCTATTTCCTTTTTACGAAACAATCCGGAAGCCACAGCATTTCCATACTCCTCACAACATTCACATTTTTTATGTTTTGTATCGGACATTAATATATTTGGCCGACGATAGATGGAAAATTAATAAGAGTTAATAAGGGAATAATATATATCTGATCCACTTTCTATACACAGTAATATGTTTATGTGACATTATCTGAATAAATTGAACTTCAATATTCCTAAAACCAGTCCCTTCCTTTTGATTGGTGTATTTGAAGTCGGAATTTTATTGGATAATATGAAATGGAAACAATAGCTTGTTTACTTCAAGTGAGTATATATACATATTGACCTCATATGTGCTTGAAGCAAATTATTATATGCCTTTTTAAGTATTGATTTTTAGTTGGAGAGAAATGAACATGAACCTGCGTGCTTGTACATTTCCTTGTATGTATTGATATCAATCATTATTTTTTTGTATGAAACATGACAATAAACAAGTTTTGTCTGTGCTATTTTTAACGGGCTTGTTTTGTATACCTTTGAAAGTACATATATTTTTTATCATTAGAAATATAGTTTTAAGTTGATTTAAATCATGTACTGTAATGATAGTAGAACCTAGCTTGTTAAAGTTGTTCCTCCAGGACAAAACATCTGATTTCTGACTGTATAAATGAAGTCAGTTTATGATTTAGAGTATTTTCAGGACATTATTCAATAGAGCAAAGAGCTACGAAACAAATACATTTTTATATGTTTACGATCAAAGAAATGAACAGAGATGAAATCTTCGTTTACTATTTGAAACATCCATTTATTCATTAGACTAGTGGTTTTTATTCGCTAAATTAAATTGATGAAAATGATAGAACTTAAATGAACGTTCTGTAATTTACAACCCATGTTTCCAGTATCATTTTTTGTCTGTCATGAAAATTTAGTTCATAAAAGTTTATATACGGTTAATAGTAACCTTTTTTAAGATGGTGGATTTTGTGTTGATGATGTCGTTCAGAAGAACGATAAAGGCTCCACGACCAAACCACCCAGCTCAGAGAAGAGAACTCCACCAAAACCTTTTTTTACCTAAATCATTAGCTATATTTTCCTAACATATGCAAGTCATAATCTTTATAAAATAAAAATTTCAGTAGCTATATAAGATGGAAGCCTCATAGTCTTAGAGCAGCACCGTTAAATGGTAAAATGTTAACTTTTTAATAGAAATAAACATAAGTAATAGTGAGGTTTATGTTTACATATTGATCGTTTGTGTACATTATTCCATTATCTATCCAATATAACTGATCATTTGTAGACAAAAGTGAATAATGATTTACTCACTTATAGAAGTTATTTGTAGGCTTTTTTTATTTCATTCAAGTACCAACCTGTATATGTTTAGATCACTCAGAAACCTTATTTCTAAGGTGATTAACTATCCAAATTTGTTTTGTAAATTAAGTTAGCTGTCATGTGTAGTGTTAGTCGTAAGCTGAATATATTATTTAACAAATATACATATCCCCTTGAATTAATCCGATCTAATGTAATAACAACAACTGTGGTAACATGTTTACGCACGTTGACAAGTCTGGTTTTAATATAATTCACTGATTACACGAACGTGTTTATAACCTTGAATTTATTTAGTTCTTGAATAATGTATTCGAAACTTTGTCACTGATAACACTATTTGAACACAAGCTAGAAAACTGAATCGATTTGAAAATAATATTTTTGTAGCTATGCATCAAATTATTATTACCTTTGTAACCATGGAAGTATAACAGCAATTTATTAATTGAAATAAATATTTTATTAAGTACTCATGATTTGACTCTGGTACATCAATGACACTTACGTCCAAGAATAAAGGAAAGAACAGAACATTGTAAACTTGGACAAGAGAGACAATTGGAAGAATGGAATGCCCCAACAAACAAACTGTTTGTTACAATATTGTGCTGTCAATCTCCCATAACTTTTCTCAATTTTGCATATAGTGTGTGATGGAGGAGGTTTTAGTGGCCCGAGATCGGACTTTAGTTTCATTGTTTGTAATTGCTGTTGAAATATAAATATCACCAATCCTCGCATAAAATTATCGACTTAGATCTCGTTAGTGAATAACGGGATTAAATAAGTCAGTTACGAGAATGGAGTTTTGAATATGTACTTTTTTTACTATCGTTGATCGGCACAGATAATCAGCGAAACGGAACAAAGGAAGCAAAGAAGATATATAGATAAAGAGAGGCGACGCCAAATGACGTATAGTGGAGTAGGCGTATAAGCCAACACCATTTAATCAAGCGTTAATCGATATTTATAGTCAGATAAAAGTAAGTTACAGACATGTGATGAGTAAGATAAGAAATGAAGACATATAAGCTTACATAGAAACAGTTAAGGTTGATAAGTGAATAATTAATAAGGTCAAAATGTAGCCTGAGGAGGATGGATAAAATGATTTGTCCAGAAGCTAGAATAAGTTATATGGGCTTAACATAGTAATTGACACTACAAGGTTTTTGATGATTTCATGAACGTATTTTCTATTTTTGAAATCAACAAACGGAATGAAAGTTGATAAATGATCTAATGCGACCGAACGTTGTTTGTTCTCGAGACCTCATCATTGAATTTAACACCCAATGATTTGAAATCAAAAACAAGACCACTAGCAAAAATAGTCGATGCAATAAAATAACTTGCTTGTTTACAGAATATTAACACGAAATAAGTATGATAAAACGTCATAGGTGACTGGAGAAAATTAGTTTGTGGGTTCTTTATTCTCCAATCAATCATGATCTGATTGTAAAGCCCAATTATCGGGCATCGTACCAAGTGTCCTTCAAATCCTAAATACTTTAAGTAGAAAAAGTACTTTCGCTCTCGATCTTTATACATTATTGACGTTTTGATCTCTCTGTCAAATTGATTTCTACAAGACTTTGAACTATTTGATGACTTCAGAGGAGAAAATTCTTTACTTTCCACCATATATTGCATATATTAAATGAAATATTAAGAACCATGATCGAATAGAGAAATTAGTGTTATTTAAGTCAACTACTGAGTAGTAGTATTATAATACATTCATAAAATCTCAATTGTACACTTTTTTAGTAGCTTATAGATAATGAAGATAAAAAATGACTTGAAAATGTATTAGCGAAACAAAACTCTTGAATATAACCCATATGCTATACTTAAGAGAACTCGTTAGAGTACATTAAAATACACTGTATTATCCCAGTATTATATGTATTTGTCTCACGAATGCATATTCAGATATAAAAACATATATCAATTCAACACAGATAACCTCACTTTTAATTTTATTTTCATAGTGATTACATTTGAATGATGAAAGAAAGGGATGATTAGTTATTTTTAAACTTGGTACATGAATTTCGATTCTACTGTATAGTCTAATGTTAGAAATTTTATTGGTTTTAATTAATACTACTTACTTACTTACGCCTATTACTCCTTGTGAAGGAGCATAGGCCGCTCACCAGCATTCGCCATCCAACCTTGTCCTGAGCAATCATTTCCAGTTGTTATTCATCCTTTCCATATATGTTTCTATTTCCCGACGTAATGTGTTGTTTGACCTTCCTCTTTTCCACTTCCCTTCAGGATTCCAAGTTAGGGCTTGCCTCATGATGCAGTTTGATTATTTGCTTAATGTATGTCCTATGCATTTCCATCATCTTTCCCTAATTTCTTCTTCAACTGGAAGCTGGGTTTTCCTCTCCCACAGAAGGCTGTTTCTGATGGTATCCGGCCAAAGGATGTTGAGTGTTTTGCGTAGACAGCTATTTATAAATACTTGTACCTTCTTGATGATGGTTGTTGTAGTTCTCCAAGTTTCAGCTCCATACAGTAGAACTGCCTTGACATTCGTATTGAAGATTCTCACTTTGATATTGGTTGAAAAATGTTTCGAATTCCATATGTTCTTCAATTGAAGGAATGCTGTCCTTGCTTTGCCGATCCTCACCTTTACGTCTGCATCTGAACCTCCTCGTTCATCGATTATGCTTCCCAGGTATGTGAAGGATTCTACATCTCCCAGAGTTTCGCCAACAAGAGTGATTGGATTGCTGTTCTCTGTGTTGTGTTTGAGGACCTTGGTTTTCCCCTTGTATATGTTGAGGCCTACTGATGCAGAGACTGCTACTACACTGACTGTCTTTATCTGCATTAGTTCGTGTGTATGCGATAGGAGGGCTTGGTCATCTGTGAAGTCCAAATCGTCTAGTTGATTCTGAGCTGTCCATTGTATTCCGTGTTTTCGCTCAGATGTCGAGGTCTTCATAATCCAGTCGACCACCAGAAGAAAGAGGAAGGGAGAGAGTAAACAGCCTTGTCTGACTCTGGTCTTTACTTGGAATGCATCTGTCAGCTGTCCTCCATTCACTACTTTGCATTGTAGTCCGTCATATGAGTTCCCGATAATGTTGACAATCTTCTCAGGAACTCCATAATATCGAGGAAGTCTCCATAATTTTCACCTATACACACTGTCAAACGCCTTTTCATAATCAATGATGTTGGTGTATATTGACGAGTTCCACTATGAATTTTTTAGTTTCCCAAATTTTGAACAACAATTTCTGCCGATAGACAAAAGATTCAATTTGCTTTTTTCTGAAATTGATAAAAACTATCTATGAGTAGTTTGACAATATCAGTAAGGAATTCCTAACTAAATTTTATATAGGTTGCAATGAATTCTGGAGGCTTCTTTTTTTTGGTAGACAGAAAGTAGATGATACACAGAAAATCACTGAACTGAAATTATTTTTATTGAATATGTACTGTATAATCAAGAAGTGGAAACAATTTAATGGTTGAATTGATAAGTCGATTTATGCTAGACAACTCTGCAAAACCTGGAAGCACTGGACGGCCGTTTCGTCCTAGTATGGGACTCCGTATAATGAAGGTCATTTGACATGGCCGAAATCCCTTAAGGTGAGTTTTTTCACTTGCTTTGAAGAAAATGAACGAAATCGTTCTTTATCTTTATTTTGGATAATAAATTGAATAATGAATTGAAATTACTTTCCGTTTCTTACAAGCTCATGATGGTTGTGTCGTTAGTGATGGTTTCACTACAGTTGATAATTGTCACCTGCTATGTCGTATTAAAGTGCTTATAAAACACACTTTTGTCTATGTATTTAGATTTAAAGTACTTTATTATATTTAAAAACTAGTAACATCAAAATGAACTCAATTTATTGGACTTGAGAACAGAGAATTTTATAGAATTTTGCAAGTCATTACTAGTCTATTGTTATGCTTAACTGATACACAGTGTATCTAAACAAGAGTTATGAATAATGTTACTGTAATTCTTACTAATCAGTTTCTGAACACAGGATTGAACCTTACTGGTGTATCGTAGATCCTAAGGAAAGTTTTCACCCTTAATACCATCTATAGCTAAAAGCTAAATAACTTAGCACTAGCAATAGGAAACGACATTGAAGGTGGTAATCATACTGATTAGGAATTCACTGAACAGTTGATGTTCAGTTCAGAATATATTTGAAAAAATCATTTCTACTTAGACTTCAGTTAGTTTGTTGATTAAACAAACTGTCTTCTGAGTTTCTTATTGTTAAATTAGATAGATAGTCTATACAATGATTTTTGTCAAACAATTTCTTCATACAATCATTTGTTGGTTTACTTTAGAAAAAAGTTCTTATATAGTAAGTTGAAAATATTGTTTATTAATATTTCGAATAATTTAGTGGTTGATTTATTATTATTATTCAGAGAAATTTTAGAGAAAAAAAATAATTTTCATAGTTGAGATCATAAGTCACTTAAAGCTAGGCCACCATGAAAAACCTGGAAGCATTGGTTAGATGCCGGCTCAGTGGTCTAGAGGTTAAGTGTTGGCGCGCGAGACCGATAGGTCCTGGATATGAATCTCTCGAGGTGAGGTCGTGTATATGCACTGTTGAGAAGTCCCATAATAGAATGAAACAGCCGTCCAATGCTTCCAGGTTTTCTATACTGGTCTAGCTTCAATTAACTCATAATCTCAACTATTAAAATTACTATAATATCCACAAACCCCCCTTCTGTTATTAAAAAAATAAATAATAGTCGATCACAGTTACATAATCAACATTATCGAATTGTATAAGTTTTATATGGTATGATTGATTTTTGTAATCATTATTTTCAAATATTAACTTTCACTTCTCATTAGTTCCTTTTTGTTTTGTTGTTGTTTCTTATATAGTTTCAATCAAAATATTTGCATAGTATTTAATAAGTTACTGGTTACTTTAAAATATGTCATAATTATGTTACAGAATGTAAAAGTATTTCTGATCATCTTTTGTTAAACATTTTCCAAAGAAAATTTTTTTTCTAAATTTTTATGTTTAGAATATACCGTCGTAGAAAAAGAACTGACCTGAAAGAGAGAGAAGAACAAAGCGTTAATGATTTTGGCTAATTCAATGAAGTTTGTTAGTTTATTCAATAGTTGTTATTTTTCATGTGCTTGTTTTTCTAATATGATATGCGTAGTTTTTAGAAAAAAAGTTTAGTCAGTAAATAGTTTCAATTTATTATTTACAGGATTGTAAAGTTGATTAGGTCAAGGGATACAGTGATATTTTTTTTCAAAAATTGTGTTTTGGAGATAAGTATATAAAATTGTTTCACATTTCTACTTAATCATTGCCCACTAATGTAACTCTACTGAAGAGATAACCAATCGCAAATGAGATTGATGTTAACGTTAGTTTTAAATTGTGATTTGATTCACTGAAATATTTACAAACACTGTTTATTTTGACTATATAAATTAGAATTCTATTAGTGTATTGACTGGAATTCTGTCTGATAAATTGATTATCGAAAGTAAATGTCAAAGCAAGAAAGTAATCTATGTGTAGACGATAAGTCAGCTACAGAAACTACAGAACCGTCTCATAAAAAATCACTTGGTTGTTGTGGAGAGTATGGGCATACTGTAGCTCATGGCCTATTTCGAAAGAAACATTTCAAAGATATATTTCATAATGATCTTAATAAAACTTTAACAACCATAAGTTTGATTCTTTATGGCTTAGGTAAGTTTTTAGTAAACATTTTGAAGTTTTGTTTACTTATATATTTCAAAATATTGATTGCGTTAAGACGTCATATTACTTTGATGAAGTCAGCCGTTTGATATTCCTTAGCAATACGTCATTTTTGTTTATAACAGAAACAATTTACTGATTCGCTTTTTCAATTTTATGCTCTTGTATGTTTTAAATTTTCAAGAGACTTTACGTATGCTTCTCAATTGAAAAAGTGAAAATCTTTCCTACAGTAAAAATGTGTTTGAACGCTTTAATTCTGTAACAGAGGTAAACAGACAAAGATTACTGCTTGAATTTAATTCTCATCGACATCTGCTGTTACAAATTTAACTTATTTATTCCTAACATCTGCCGAGTTTGCCAGAAACTCATTTTATGCATAACATAGAACTACAAAATTATTCTTTAAGAGGTTGTAAATGTTATGATGATTTATCTGTATGTCTTTATCATAAACGATGACAACTAATCATATTCGGTGCCCAAACACGAAGTATAAGGTGAAGAAGAAATTGTCTTAATAACATAAACAAGCATGATAATAAGTATTAAGTAAACAGTTATGTAACACAGAAAATGACAGAAGTTCAATAAGAGATTATAGTAATTTTATTGGTGGTCAATTACATAATTTGTATTTATTGGAAAGGAAAATTACAAAATTGTGATGACAAAGTAGATCGTTTGAATAACTTTGGCACAAAACAAAAAATAATTGTAGTTGAGAGAAAGCTTACTTTTTGATTCACTAGTACCTACTGGCGGAATTAGCTTTTAAAATGAACTATTTTCCAGTGGAAACTTACAAAACTATTAGTTATTAGTTTATTTTCCAAATGAGAGTAGGTACTTTTTCCAAGTCAAAGAATTATCGAAGCTAGAGATAAGATAATTGCTTTGTTTTCAGAGATTATCATACACTAGTTCCATTGGTCTCAATACGTGGGAAACGCTTAATTTCTGAGAGTCAATAGCGTCTGAAAAAAAGGTTATTGAAATACTATTTCAGTAATAAATGTAGCTTATCTTTACTGGGTGATTATAAAATCATTAGAAAGTTCGACAGACAGGATTCCATTACAATACAAATTACAATTTTACAGAAGATGCTTGTTAGTTCTGTGTATTGGTGAAATGATTTTCGGATAGAATAAGAAAATATTGGTAGATACATATGTCTTGGCTTTCAACCTTGAATAAAGTGTGAGACTTAAGAACCGTTACGTCTATTGTTTGATTGCTTAGGGAATACAAGTTAACCTTATGAATGGTAGTTTTCGATTATTTCGTGAATAACTAAGGAAACGTATTGTACAAAGTAACTAATACTCATACAGCTTGACCCATGGTCGGATGAAAACACACAAATGATAACTTATTAAGGGTCCATTTTTTGGTAGATCATTAATGAACAAAATATCTATGAAGGGCTTGTGAGCCAGGTATTAAATTGTTGTTTGCTACTTTACAACTCTGAATCATGGTAACTTTATCCTAAACTTATATGTAATACCCCAACTTAAGAGCAAGAATAAGAGATTGTTCTTAAAGAGAGCAAGAACGAAGATTGGTGCAGAGTAATATGAACTTATTTTATTTCGTTAGGTTCTCATCAGCTGCTTACAACTTAAACATACGAGGGTGATGAAAAATGAATATATGTATCATGATGTAGCGAAGATTTCAAGAGTTAATAACGTTAAGATAATAACGGGAACTATCTGTAAGAGATTTTTCATTTAGCTAGATCTGGCGTTTGTGACTTAAGAATGAAAATCACATTTTTGATGTAATTTTAGGGTTATTTTGTTAACTTTCATCTTAACTGGTTGTTAATATCATGGTTTAGACTTTTAAAATACCACAAAAAGTAACAAGTGTCTAGAAGACGGTGAATGAGCTGGAACAATTGATTTTAATAAGTGATTTCCAACAGATTTATATCTTAATTAACAACTTAACACAATGTCAGTAATATGATCAGTTAAAGATTTAGTATCACTTAAGCTACTGTGTGTTGGAACATACAACGATCGTAGTTTTTTTCATTTAAAGAATTTGAATGATTTAGAGGACAACTAGAGTGCTGAAGACATTAGGATTTGAATTTCGTTTCAAAAATAATCATCTAACTGGGTTTTTGCAGTATAGTCAGATCAAAACAAGTTTACGTAGATCTATTAACTTTTCCTATCCAAACCAGATATAAGAATTATCGTTTCGTTTTCATTTTAAATATTTTGTATTTCAAAGAACACATAGGCACTTTTTGTTATTGCTATGTTCAAAACTAGTCTCAGTTTATTTGATAGTGAATCAATAATTCTGGAGATAAACATGTTTTACCGAAGAATTAGCAGTAAATTAATTGGTGTTTTGAATTGTTAATTTTGTAGATTTCTCTTATGATCGAATATTATCTACAAAATCCAGTGCTTGATTTGATTAATGATTAGTTTTACAATTAAAATAATTGATAGCTATTAAGAAATAACACTTAGCATTATAAGCAAAGATGGATAGTGGCTAGCAGTGGGGTTCAGGACGCGCGTTTCTCCCTGTCTGGGAATCGTCAGCTGGGTGTACTTGCACCTTCTAGTTGATGTTCACTCTGGGACTCTAACTCGATACCGTCCGCTTCAAATGTCATCGCCTTATCCACTTAGCTACCAAGTCCTGATAGCCACTTGCTTGTGAAATGGCGTGAAGTTTAAATTCACTTAGCATTGTCATATCCTTTCATTTTGTTAAAGTATTTTAATGAAAGACGGCAAAAAATGGTAATGTTATAATATAGAGCATTGTACAGAAATAATAATTTCGACTGAATATCTGTCATGTAACCCTCAAAGTTCCCAAAGTTCATGAATTAAGAAACTGTATTTATAGGGGAAAAGCTATGTTACTTAATTATCTTAATGTTATCTAATCTTTAGTGTTAACAAAATTTTATCCATTAATTATGTGAAGCATTCAATAGACTTTTCACATCATTTGAATTGCTCATTGACAACATCACTAATTGTGAGCACTAGACAAGTGAGATCCCAGCGTGTGAATAGAAATCGGTTTCACGTAGATTTCATGCACATCTTACTCACATTTGTCAACAAGTACAACCTCTATTAATAGTTTTCTGTTATTCGCTTTCAGACATCTGATAAAAAAATCTATTAGCCATAGAAAACATAGTGGCACAAGTTCCACTGTCTAGATAATTAGGAGTGCTAGTAAGTTCAAACAAATTTGAAACAAACTAACTAGTATTGGGTGATTACTTAGATGATTTCATTGGAGTCTTTTCCTAGATATATGTGAATAGAGCAAGAAGTAAACTTGTATGATAGTTGCTTGTAACCTTATTCGAAGTGACAAAAAATACTGGCTGTATCAAGAGAAAACATAATGTAAGAAAACCAAATTATTGACAGAATTGTGGTAAAAAAACCTTTGATTCATTAGTTAATACAGTTTTGAAAATGAATTTAACATCAAACTTTAATATTCTCTTGTCTTTTTTTCGTTATCTAAAAGAGTAATAATCTAAACTGTCCAGTAACATTAGTTTTGCTATCTATGAGGAACCTCGAGTCCAGTATTATTTGTCTTTCAGGTTGATTTGGAAAAATATTGATTTTTAGTACAACGCATAACTAACTTTCATAACCTGCAATTTTAAGACATGACAATAGAAACTATGTTCCTTCTAATGATTAACTTACTGGTTTACTTACGCCTTTTACCCCTCGTGGAGGAGCATGTGCCTCCTACTAGAATTCTCTAGCCAACTCTGGCCTGGGAAGTCCTTTTAATTACTGTCCATCATTTCCATATCTGCTTCCAATTCCGGACGCATTATGTTCTTTGGTCCTCCATTTTTCCGTTTCCCCTCAGGATTTCAATTTAACGCTTGCCTGGTGATGCAGATTGGTGATCTCCTTAATGTATTTCTTGTCCACTTCTAACGACTTTTCTTAATTTCCTCCTCAGCTCAAACCTGGTTTGTTCTCTGCCACAGTACATTGTTGTTGATGATGACCAATCAACAGACATAGAGTATCTTACATAGAAAACTGTTTACAAATACTTGTACTTTTATGACGGTGGTTGTAGTAGTTCTGAAAGTTCCAGCTGCATACAGTAGAACTGCCTTGACGTTCTTATTGAAGATTGTGACTTTGATCTTGGTTGAGAGGAAGTTGTTTTGAGTTGCGAATGTTGTTCAACTATAAGGATGCTGTCCTTACTTTGCCAATCCTTGTCTCTACGTGTGCATCAGATCCTCCACGTTCATCGATGATACTGTCCAGACAGGCACATGAATGTTTACAACTATTGTAGAGCATCTCCATCATGTGTGATTGTATTGTTGTTCTCCATGTTGTGTTTGAGTATGTTTCTTCCGCCCTTGTTGCAGAGGTTGCTGCTGCTACTACACTACTTGCTTTGACCTGCATTCGTTTGTGTGTATGGGATTTAAAGTGCTAGGTGATCTGTGAAGTTCGAATTGTCTAGTTGCATGCCAGTTGTCCATTGTATTACGTGCTTCCCACCAGATGTGGAGGTCTTCCTAAGTCAATCGACCACCAGAAGTAATAGAAATGCTAGAGGGAAAGAGTAAGCAGCGTTGTCTGACTCCGGTCTTTACTTGGAATATGCATGTCAGTTGTCCTCCATGGACCACTTCGCAGTGTAGTTCGTCGTTTGAATTCCAGATGATGTTGATGATCTTTCCAAGTACTCACTCCATAGTCTCGAAGAAGTTTCCATGCGGTTCTTTTATTCACACTGTGAAACACTTTCTTATAGTCAAGGGAACTGGTGTATAGTGACGAGTTCCATTCAATTGATTGTTCATCGATGATCCGTGGTGTCACGATTTGGTCTGTGCAAGACCAATCCTTACGCAATCCTCTCAGTTGATCTAGAAGTTGGGAGTTTGTTCAGTCTTTCATCCGATTCAGCAACACTCTGTTGAAAAAGTTTCCTGGTACTGACAGCAGTGTGATACTTATGTAGTTAGTTGCCTTACTTGCTCATATTTTCTTCCTTTGGTATCCTGATAAAACGTCCTTGTTTCCAGTCTGTCGTCAGCACTTGTTCTTCATCTCAAATCTTCTTGAATAGAACATGGAGCATGTTTGGTGTTGCTTCTATGTGTGATGTTATTGCCTCAGCTGGTATATTATGAGGTCTTTATGCTTTTCCACTCTTGATTTGTTTGATGACCGGCCATCCTGATTTCTTCAATCGTTAAAGGAGTGAGATATATAGGAAGATTTGTTTGTGGTGTTTCGATGTCCGGCAGGTCCAGTGGGGCTAGTGTATTCTCCTGATGATTAATGAAGAAAACAATTTTTGAAATTCAAATGAACGACATTGATTAGTAGAGTTCTGTCATATAGATAGTAAAATGGGTGATAATTGATTATTCAGTATGTAGAACTGATTATAGTTTGAAAAGCAACCTAGTGAATATCATCTTATTGGCCTAACTATAATACTCTAGACACAAATATTAGAGTTTGTTTGAATTTATTCACTGTGTATGTACATTACCCAGGATACCCGTGATAGGACTAAACAACACTCCAGTGTTTTCTAGTTTTCAGTCTATGATGTAAACTGCATTAAAAGTGAATAATCTCCACAAACTGCCTAAGCTCAAAGTATATCTTTATCAAATAGTCTGATAGATGTTATGTCGTTACTTACAATAAAGTGTTTTGATTTATTATTCTTATTGTGTATTTAATTGTTATAAAATTGAAAAGTAAATATGCAATTTGTACTTGAGTAATTCTATAGTCATTTTAGTCGTTACAATAATAACATAATTTGCATTGATTTCAGAATACATTTTTTTGCAAAAGTATGAATCATGTGTATCGTTTAGCTTATATACTAAAAGTAGCACAGACTAGAAATAAGTAAATAAGATGTGTTGTCAATATACGTTTGCTTGTGTTAAGAACTCATTTATATTTTGAAGTAATAAAAATATTTTAAGATTACATGATGTAACTGTTCATCATATATATAGTGTGTGTGTGTGTGAATAAAAAACATGGGTAGATCATTTAGTGCATTTAAAACAATTTTCATTTATTATGATAGACAGCAATTTATCGACTTGTGTTTAATAAACATCTATTTTCATCTTCAAAATTGAAACTGGTTTACCGTGTTCAATTTAGTAAAGTGAATATATTCGTTGTATAAATAGTATCTAGGTTACTTTTTAATAGTTTAATGAATTGATCATTTGAATAAGAAATGATGTAATATGTTGGTAACAGGCATACAATGGTACATAGAACAAATACTTAAAATAATTTAATTAGACTTTCCTGTTGAAATGACTTGTATGTAACAATCGTTTGGTTATATCAAAGCAGACAATAAACTGGTGATTTGTTGCTTCAATTTTCAATACTTTCAAAAAATATCACTAAAATGAAGGAATAGAGTACGGAAACGTATATGAAAAGAAGAGGATCCAAAAATAAACTATGAATAGTCATTAAAATAATTGGCCATTTGAATTTGATTAAAACTTGAAATATGAATGGTTGCAACAGTCTGTATGACTATTTATTTATTTTGTTTATTCATTTATTCGTTGCACAAGCTAGTGGATATCAGGACTCAGTAGCTAAATGGATAACACGATGACGTTTGAGTGGTACTGGGTTCGAGTCCTAGAGTGAACATCGACCCTTGGATGCAGGTACATACAGTTGACGAGTCTGAAATAGGACGAAACACATACCCTGGATTCCACTGCTGGCCACTATCCATATCTGCTCATAATGACTATTTATTGTTTAGGTTTTTAATTTTATTTGTCTTGTACGATGTTATAAACTATCCTAACTTTCTTGCTTTAAAATTATTAAGCAAGGGATTCATTGAGAATGATGTATTTCACAATGTAAAATTAATGTAATCTGATAACTTTTATTGCGTTTTTGATTGAGATCATGAACCGATTGATGTTAGACCACCACCTTTGGAAACCTGGAAGCACTGCACGGCCGTTTCGTCCTATTGTGGGACTCCTCAGCAGTGCGCATCCACGATCCCGCTATCGGGATTCCAACCCAGGGCCTTCGGTCTGGCGCGCGAACGCTTAACCAACTGGACCACTGAGCCGGCATCCAATGGTGATAGTGTCTAACATCAACCAATCCACGAAACTTAAGTCATTGGTTTAATACTAGTCTAGAGTTGTGTTTTATCCATACCAAGGAACACTTGATGAGAACAGATAATTTTGTATAATAAGCTTTATCTTGTTTAAATAAAGGTCATGTAGATGGTTTGTCGATTCGAAGAATACTAAAACAAGAGACATGAGTTAAATATATCAGTACATAGTATGAATAGACAATATGACAGTCACATATATAAGTAATTTCAAGTCACCTTAAATTATTATGATATTCACTGATATTATAAATTTCAGCATGTATGCTGGATGGAGGCATTTATGTGTCGACTGGTGCTGTAATAAATGCACAAACTGGACCGAGTGCTTTTCTTGCTTATATTATAGCTACTTTTGTAGCAATATTAAATTCTCTGATATATTCAGAATTAGCATGTCATGTTCCAAAAGTAAGTAATTGTTTTTTTACCAGTTCTTGATTAAATTAATTGAAAATTATAAAAAAATTCTTTGTTCTATTAATTTCACATTTAATGTTGTATGAAGGTCTGATGTGTTATGGAATTGTGTATGAATTGTTAGAATTCGGTAATAAGGATATTGGATCGATTAGTCTATGTCAATCTTTGAAGTAGGCACCTCTGCTTAGACTCATTTTCTATTAGTAAAGATAATCGATGAAATTATTATTATTTGTGTTAAGTATAAACAAACTATTTTACTTTATAAATAACTACCAGAAACCATTGGCGTAATTTTCCTTTATTGCTATTGTTAAGAGATCTTCCAAAGAAAACGGAGTTTTCTTCAGTAAATGAACTTATACAAATAAGAATGACATGAAATTTTTAAAATTACAAATTTTCGGTTAGCCACTCTCTGATATTTTAATGTGGGACTCCCGAATGGTTAAGATTCATTTTTTGATGGGAATGCCAAAATGTGTCTTTTAGTGATTGGATTAAAAAGATAGAATTTATTATTTAAACGCGTGTATTTTTAAAAGTAAAAAGTCCTATTAATATACATTTACTGGTTTTAATTCTTTTTAGGATGTTGCATGTTACGGACATGCACACAGCATTCTTGGTGAACTCCCAGCATTCATAACTGCATGGTCAACGTTTATTGATTACATACTAAGTGCATCACTAGTTGCACGTAGTTGGAGCAACATAATCGACACTTTTTCAGGAAACAGGATCAGTTCGTGGATAATAATTACATTTGGAAGGTAAGTAAACTATCTTAGGGTTAGAAACTGAGTGATATGGGATTGATTTCTTCAGTGAACACCAGTACCCTAAAGAATACAGGTACACCTTTCTGACGAGTGATTAGCAACACGAAACTAAGGTCTAGGGTCTGTTATCAACTACTTCTAACCACATTACAACGAAATATAGTTCACGCGATGTCAAGTCACTTAGATTGGTCTCCATATTATAACTTGGTAGGCAGAGTTCAAATAGCACTTAATGGACTATACAAGCCTGACATTGATCATGATTCCGTAAGCCGTCAATGTACAAGCGAATATGTATGTCAGTCATTTTGTTTGTTGAGATCTGCTTCATAAGGTTGGTACCATTCAGTTATTCCAAGATATTAGTCTACTTGAATATACTATTTAATAAATTCATTGAAATAATTAATTTATTTATCATGTAAAGTTGTGTTACTTCCTCACTTCTTAATCTAAGAAGAGTAAACCTAACCAATCGAAATCCTTTTACAGTGAGCCTTTGGTTATTTCAATAGTATAGATATATTTAGCGATCAACCAAACTATCTTGGACATTCATATTAAAAGGAATATTTTTATTTTATTACTTATTTATCCTGTCTTTTTATGTTAATGATATATTCACCATAAAAGTTTAATTACTTTACAGAGTGTAACTTGAGACGAAAAAATTTGTAGGCTTAGTTTAAAATCGTTGAAAATTTACCCATCTAAAAATGTACTTACAAAGGTGGTAAAATACTGTGGTTTGTTTTATTCAGTTGCACTATATTCTCATGGTTTTTGTAAGTCATTTATAGTCAGTATATAATACTATTTAATAAAAAAAAAGCTATAATTCAGAATAAGTGAATGGTTTCAATATTAATTGTAATCTTTTCTTGCTGTTTGTTTCAGTGTTATTCTATAATTACAGATCAGAATTTTAACATTTCTAGTACCATGAGATAGCTTTTTTACGTATAAAACGCGTTCCCTAAGCTTTGTGATATTAGTGTATAGTTTGAAGTAGTCCTATAAATCATCCATTTTCGCTGTTAATTTTAAATTAAATCAGTAGTGATTGATAGATTGTGTCCGATTTTATAATATATAGTAGCTCTATTCAAAGCAGTGTGTTGTGAGTTACTCCTAGTACTTCAGTTACTTCTGATTTTTAGCTATGGGTTCATGGTTCACTGTAAAGGAAAATAATGTCATGAATCTGGATTTGACCATTTTTAGGGAAGTTTGAGAACTGTTAGATTATCGAATACAACACAGATCAAATAATAATATGCAATGATACAATGTGGTTGGTGATAACTCCTGATAAAACTGGATTTTTGATGTAGACCCCTAGTCGAACAGATTTTGTCAATAAATCAGATCGAAAACTTGCATTGTAATCACGAATAAAAATAAGGAGGTTAACAATCATCGTAATTACATACTTGTGCATTATTTTAGTAGAATCTCATTATCGTTTTGGTGTTAGTTTCATCATAGAAAATTCCTGACTCAACAAAGATGTATGTGTCACTTTATAATAACTGATAGTAACTAACGTGATGATCTGTCTTTAATCAAACAAATTCAGTCCACTTACGAGTGATACTATTGTAAGTAATATTCGGTTGATTGATGATCTACCTTTTCAGTGTACACTGAAGTCTCCTACAGTACTAGTAAAAACTAGGTAACTTTTAATGCATGAAATTTGGAAATCTTGTAAGAACAGTTAGTAAAAAAGTGATGTCATGAAAGGATAAAATGGACAGCGGCTAATGCACCCAATAACTATTGATACACTTTTAAGAACACGTAGTTCTTTCTCGTGGAGTTGTGGCACAAATATGACAGGTTGCGAAATATCTCCAATGATTTTATTGACATTCTTAAAGTGACATACATAAGTTGATATCAAAAGACATTATGTGGATATACAATTTATGTATTAACTAGCTATTCTAGTAAACAGACAGAAGTAAGTAAAATATTAAATATTATTTAGGCGTTCTATATTATCCTATTCCATAACATTATACTACCACAACAAGAAAACCGATTACATTTGTGACGTGTCGAATAATCTCAAAAACGTTTATCTGAAGAGTAATGAGGTAAAAAAATTCAGAAAACAGTTTAATTCCTTTGTTTCTTCAATACAGGGGAAATATGAGTAAATTTTATAGGAAATTGTGGCTTATTCTCACATTTTAGTTCGAAAACGTGATGTATTTCATTAGCTTTATTGATAATACTTCTACACTTGAAGAGATGGGTGTCTAACCTAAGCTCTACTAGTAATACCAACACTGATTTAGACACTTTTAAGTAATGGTTATTAAAAGAAACGATATAAACTTCATCTAATAAGTTCGTATGAATGTCTAGTGTAGAGAACTTATTAAAAAACCTGAGCATGAATAAACTGTTTTACTGAAGGACATATTTCGAGACGTCAGGCTATAGTAAAGTTTAAAGAAAATTAATAATCCGAAAGTTTTTCAATCGTAGGTAAAATCACATTTACTCAGTGTTGAAGGAATACCAAGTAAATCTGTTGTTAGTCATAAGTCTCTTTAAACAAACGACCAACATTAAAATAAAATAAGCAAACTAATTGATATAGGCTATAGTTAAAACAAAATCTGAGTATCTGCTCTATATCAGCTGATTCGAATTGATTAGCCTGTTTAAAACCCACTATACGATCAATTCTTACTGATTTAGAGACGTAATTAACATAATTACTCATTGATGAATTACTGTCGTTTATTTAGATCGTTATAAAATTTTGTTTCATAACAATACCGCAATATGAATTAATGAAGAAAATTTTCAGTCTAAGCGACTGGTTTTGTAACATAGCCTTTCTCAAGCTGGATGACTTAGACGTGAAGGTTTATTATAATTTAAAACATGTCCAATTACAATTTCAGAAAGATTTGAGTTATTTGATTTGTCTGTGTTAGGTAGTCGGAAAAATAGACCAATAATTATCATGTTAAGTCCAATGGTGTCCTTGGACCTTAAATGTACATTTCTTATTGGTCGATGTTTACTTCACTTGTTAAATATTGTACAAATGTTGTTTCCTATTTTGTGGTACGATGTGGTTTGTTTGCTTGGTATATAAATAGAGTATGTTTGAAATACAATGATTCATAACTCCGAGGCTGTGACTTGTGTTCTTGACTCAACTGGCTAGGACAGACAGCGAAGCAGGGCCAATTAGGGCACTTGGTCATCCTTACGTGTTTACGTGTCCACTGTCACCGAATCGATCGATAAATACGCTGCGTATCAAACCCTGCAGTCACTCCCGTTACAACAGTCTGCAAGTGTAAAACCATTTGATTCAATGACCCTGAGTGGCACTGAGTGTTCTCGAAATTTTGGGCTAATCCAACGCATTTGATACTTCCTTAGAAATCAGTTAATTGTTTCCTTATCTTACTAGTGGACTTTAAGAAACACTCTGACTTTCCCGTCAATTTTTCTTATCCAATGTTGTTTTATTACTTAACTACGAGTTTAAAAAACGTTCATCAGTACTTTGTATTATTAAGTGAGAATGAATTCAAGGTGTAGAAGAATTAGTAGCATATTCGGGAGAAGTGAAATATTATAATATAGACTATTTATAGTTTCACATAGGCAAATCCATACCATGTCAAGCATCTGATCACCAATAATCCTCACAAGGTTGATTCTTTTATTGACATCTATCGGTTTAGTGGAAAAAAGCCACTCGTTTTTACTAAATTTGTAATACCAACTACACATAATATTCATATCTCGAAGAAATTTTAATTTCAGTATATATGGCTAAATTGTCTTTTTGTTTTTCATTTCAAAAAATTACTTTTATAGATTATCATCTCCAGATGGATTGTTGTCAGAATATCCTGATTTCCTCAGTACGATAGTGATTCTTATTTTTGGCATTTGTTGTTGTTTTGGACTACGTAAAAATTTAGCTTTGACCGTGATCTCAAGTGCCGTTAACGTTGGAGCATTATTGATAGCTACTATCTATATGTTTATTCATGCTAAAACAAACCATTATTCCATAATATATCCTGGGATTACAACAAATATTAAATATTTTCTACCTTATGGGATTCTCGGTTTATTAAGTGCAACAACAATTAGTTTCAATGCTTTCGTTAGATCCAGTGCACCATCATCACGTGCACAAGAAGTTAAACGTCCTCCTTATAGCCTACCTGCAGCCAGTGTAACCAGCATACTCATCGTGGGACTCGTCACTACATTATCTGCATTAGCACTGACATTATATTATCCATGGTTTTATGTCGACGCAGAAAATGCATTTTTAAATGCATTGAAAGATAACAAAGAATCTACTGGTGCAAACTTTGGAAGAATATTCATGTTTTGTTTAGTTGGCAGTGGGTTTGTACTTGGATTACTCACCAGCTTGATATCACCAATGTTGGCCAGTATAAATATTTGTTTAGCTATGGTCCATGATGGTTTTATGCCATTCATGTTTTCTCGTGTTTGCCGACCCTTCAAGGTATTTTTTTAATCGAAAAGTTAATGATATAAAGATATGCACACAAAACCCAGTTGTAATTTTGTCTGATATATGTATATATATGCGTTATCCCAATCAAATTAAATCGCTTTAAATTAAAGAGGCTTTCATCACTCCCTTTTCTTTTATCATTACTTCGAATGCGCTCATGATGACTGAATACTATAAGTTGTGTAGTAATGTGACATAAACTATACACCAGTGCGCAATAAGATAATAAGTAACGCCAGATTTTAATCTACAATGCTAATTGTTGTGTACTGATCTATCGAGTAAAATGTAGGAAACACATCAAGTTATTCGGTAGACAATATGTCTGCATGTTAGGTGGCTGAGGGAAATCGCTAAGAAACTCTGAACTTAGGTTCTTTATGAGACTAATGCTCTCGCACGGAGTTGATACCGCCTCCTTCAGTTCTACGTCCTGAGAAGTTACTATTGAGTTATCATGGCCTTGACCAACCTCCTATAGATGTGTAGTCACTTGTAATGTCTCGGAATGTGAAGTTGAGTATCTCAGGATCGGATCCACCCGAGAGCTTCAGTCACGTTATGATTACAGGTAAGCCTTGTTGGTGAGTGTCAAACAGTTAAAAACTCAGGTATAGGGTTTCCTTTCGACTTGCTTCAACTGCAAAACATCAAAACGCAGTGAATGAGAAATATAGTCGCTTAAATGAGTGGCTACGTTACGGCTTGCTCAATAAAATTTGATCAGCACTAAACGGACTATAGAAATATAATGTTGGTCACATATTAACCAATCTAGTTGATTTAACTTATGTAAATGTGATATTTTTAATTTATCACTAATAACATTCTTATTTGTCTTTCTTTTTTGTCTTCTTTATTCAGAGACCACTAATGACGACAATATTCATTATAATTTTCACATGTTTGTTTAGTACAATATTTACTGTACAAAGTTTGGCAAGTTTTTTAAGTTTAGGCACATTAATTGCCTATTGTATTAGTGCTATCAGTGTCTTATTTCTACGTTATCGATCACAGACAAATGATCCTGAAGATATAAATGAATATGATAATGCTAATTGTAAAGGTTTTGAAAACTATCAGGTAAATACATATCTAATGCATTTCACATTCACTAATAAACTATTAAATGGTTAATTCACTTGGTATCGTTTTACTTGAATCTTCCCATTGATGTTTTAGGACTGAAATTGATCAGTCTCTTATTGGCATATGTGCATACTGTGCGTATGCCTCGATATTGGCTTAATTACAAGCATTATAAGCAAAGATGGATAGTGGCTAGCAGTGGAATCCAGGACGCGCGTTTCGTTCTATGTCAGGCTCGTCAGCTGGATGTACCTGCATCTCAGAGTTGATGTTCACTCTGGGACTCGGACTCAGTACTGCTCGCTTCAAACGCCATCGCCTTATCCACTTAGCTACTGAGTCCTCATAGCCACTTGGTTGTGCAATGGGAAAATTCAAGTAAAGCAATACCAAGTGAATTAAACTTCACCCCATTGCACACGCCAGTGGTTATTAGGACTCAGTAGCTAAGTGGATAACTCAATGGCGTTTGAAGCGAACAGTACTGAGTCCGAGTCCCAGAGTGAACATCAACTCTGAGATCCAGGCACATCCAGCTGACGAGTCCCAAACAGGACGAAACGCGCGTCCTGGATTCCACTGCTAGCCGCTATCCATCTTTGCTTATTAAATGGTTAATAGAAAATCTACATAGATGGAGTGTTTTTTTATAGAAATCAGAGTATAAATTAGATATGTTTTGTCTCAACAAATGATAAAGTATTTTTTTCGAAAGAATTTTTCGGATTACAAAAATATTAAGCTAATTTACTTTTAAGCTTATTCAAAGATGATGTCATCTTGATGGATGGACCAAACCATTCAGCTCAGGGAACAAAAATCCATCAAAATCATCCATCTAAGCTACAAATCTTCTCCAGCATCTCGATGATACCATCATTTAGAAAGTTTGTTTTGAAGACAGGGCTCCACTATGAACTGTATATATTATACAAGGACTAGTGATTGTAGCTTATTGTAACTGACCAAATCATTTGTCATAAATATTCTGGCTGATTGATTGCTGATTATTTCACAACTAGTGGTTTTTGTCCTCTTGTAGGTCAGTGAAAATAAATCGCTAAATAGATTATCTAACCCGTAAATTATTTTCCTCCTTACCTCTTGATTAGTACGTAACCTCATATGTTATTTGGTCTCGAATCCATTTTTGTGATTCCATATTTTCTATCTTCCTATAGACATATATTTTCCATATAACTATATATACGAATGTACAGCTTAAGCAAATGATTTCGTCGAAAAGAAAATTTTCTTCGCTGAATTCTCTTTTCCTTATTCAATATTATATATTTTTACTCAGTTACTATACATACTTGTTGAAAACTACTCATGATATGTATGTATGTATAATTTGTGATACATAAATTTTGATTTTTCTCTATGAATGTTTTATTGCTTCACAGAATGCATATTACAGTAAGCGAATTGGTCAACCAGGATTCATTAAAAAGAAAATTGGTTTCCGTTTATCTGATCGTATTTTAAAATTTATCAATTCTGGTGTTCCTGGTAGTATGGTTGTTTATTTAATATCTATTTATGTAATATTGAGTATTGCATTGGTTGGATGTTTGACCTTTGGAGTATCTGGTAGAATAGCATCATTTATGAAGATCATTGCTACTGTACTTACTATTTTACTACTCATGTTAACTATCATTTTCATCAGTTTTATTGAACAGTTCAAGTCAAATGATGCTAATTTATATCGAGTAAGTTATCTATTATTAATACTTTTAAATAAAATATTTTCTGTTGAAACAACCTAATCAAAATTCACTTGGAGTTGTTTTACTTGTGTCTTCCCATCGTTATTTAGGACTGTAATTGGTCAGTCTCATGTTGGTTTCATCGAGGCAATCCGCACAGGATGCACATATGGGAAGATACAAGTAAAACAACATCAAGTGAATTTAAACTTCATCCCATTACACAAGCAGGTGGCTATCAGGACTCAGTAGCTAAGTGTATAACTCACTGGCGTTTGAAGCGAACAGCACTGGTTTCGAGTCCTGGAGTGAACATCAATTCTGGGATTCAGGTACACCCAGCTGACGAGTCCGACATAGAACGAAACGCGCGTCCTGGATCCCATTGCTAGCTACTATCTATTTTTGCTTAAAAACCTAATCAAAATATTGAAAGTGATTTTGTACGAGAACTAACATTGACTTGTAAAACAAAACGTTAACTTAGTTCCTTTTCCATTATGATGCTTATTTATATGAAAACTGAATAGGCAAATCAGTCTGGTGTTGTCGTTTACATTGAACATCAACATGACAACCAGGTATAGTTCTAATGATGCTGATATTTAAAAAAATAATTTAAATGATAAATGAAAGAGTGTACCAACAACCATCTATTCTGGTAATAATTTCTTATTATTGATTTATATTTTCATAATTCCTCTGATGAAAAGTTGATATATGATAACGTGTGATACATGTTAATCCATCATTTTATTACTGTGGTGTGAACATGAAATTGAAGTTGACAGAAAAAAAACTGAGTTTTTTGTGAATATTATAGTAATTTTAATAGTTGAGATCATGAGTCGATTGAAGCTAGAATGCCATAGAATACTTGGAATCACTGGATGGTCGTTGAGTTCTATTGTAGGACCCCTCAGCAATGCACATCCACGATCCTGCCTCATGAGATTAGAACACAGTGCCTATCGGTCTCGCGCGCCAGTGCTTAACCACTAAACCACTGAGCTGGCCGGCATTCAACGGTGTTAGTGTCTAACTTCAACCAATCCACGAAATTGCGCCACCGTCCACCATTGTCTTCGGTGAGTTACTATCTCACAACAGACCTAGTTGAACTCCGCTGATCACTGCTTCTCACTAGAACTCCAGGAAATGCCTCTTGATGCAAGTCCCTAGTGAGCATATGATGATTATAATCAGAGAAGGGTTTTTGTGTATATTATAGTAATTTAATAGTTGAATGCATGAGTCAATTGAATCCTTATATGTTATGAATTAATAACAAGATTTTGGTCAAGTACATTTGGTGACTATTATTAAAGCCGCTCAGTTGACTTATACATAATAATGCATTAATAAACGAGATTTTTATGGTTATTACATAACGTAGACCAAGTATTCTCATTTAGATTAGGACTGTCTGTAATTAAGATGGGAATTGACAGGATCCTAAATCAACCGCATTAGAAATTTATTCGACTAAATTTATTTTACAAAACTATGAAACATCTAAATATGAAAATGAATAAAACAATTCATATCGCCAAAATTTCATGTTTAACCGAGAATTATAAGTCATCAAAGTAGTTAAGAGTTACGATATTGTACATATTGTTCTTAAAAATTACCAGGTCTCAATGACATACATAATTATTAACATTACGGTAACATCTACGTTTAAATCTATCTTCGCGTCTAGTTTTACCTAACATCTGGAGCACGGGATCATTAACAAAATACTGGCATCTCTCACCTTCTATATCCTGTGCATTTACAAGTTACAAATGTTCAATTATATATCCATCCTTATTCATAACTATGTTCTGAGATCAAATAAAAGTATATACGTGTACTTTATTTGTAAATAAAGTACGATTGTCACTCGACCATGTTGCACAGTGTTTGATTAAGAATCATCTGACACCTCCATCCTCATAGAGGCTGATGAACCGAATAACACAATATTTATTATTCATATATCAGAAATAATCATTATTCGAGTGGTATTTTCGATTTTTCTTCCAGGTTCCGTTGGTTCCACTGCTTCCTTGTTTTACATTAACGATAAATCTACTCCTTCTTTCTCGAATTTCATGGTTTAGTTGGGTTCGTTATGGTATTTGGATGTTACTGGGTGAGTTGCTTCTCTTTCTTGGATTTATAAGAACAATGTACTAATGAGGACTTTAATACACTAGATTTTATCATAGGGATTAAAATGCAGGTTGATTTTGATTATTATTAATATCGTGAACTGACCCAAGTTAAATGTTTATTGGTAGTCGGTAAGTTCTGGATGCTGTTTCATCCTGGTGTATGACTCCTCACCAGAGACCCTTTAAGAGGGAATCAAATGCAGGACCTTTGGTCACACGAGAACACTTAAACTCTGGATTATTCAGCAGGAATTCGGTAGTGTGTATATTTACCTTCAATCAACTCATTACAGTGTTTAATGGGAAACTGTCTGACACCCGGTGCATTAGAATTGTACCAACCACGGTTTTTCATTAAAATTCCGGAATTACCTCTCGAAATTAGTCACCAATGAGCACATTGTGGATGAACAGTGGTGAGGAGCTTCATATTAGAAAGAAATGGCTTTCCAATGCTTCTTATATGCTAATGAATGTCTAACTTAAATTAGTTCAGGATATCACTGACAATCACTAATCGCCACAAACCTCAGTGCTGATAACTTCGACTGTGAATTTACTACAACTAGTCTCTAGTAGATTTTTATGCAAAAAGAGCAACAAATAATATTTACAAAACCAATCTTCTATACGTAAACCATTCATTTCATAGACTAAAGGAATATGATTTATTGTAAGTAAATTCATAAGCGCTTTTGCTTTAAACTTCTCAGCAACTGTTTGTGTGAAAATACTCTTGCACAGTAGTACTTTAAACAATCACATCGATAAAAGTTATCATAAAATTACAAAGATTTCCTCTGCCATTAACTATTCTATTAGAAGGTTTACCAGATCATATCGAATGGCATCTACAAATATAATTTTCGATCCACTGTTTATTTTATTCATATAGGTTTTTCACAAAATAAGCTTAATTTTTACTTCTGACATTATTTTACTCTACACATATAATAATAATCATGAAAAATATAGATCAGCTGAATATACTAATAAATAACGTTATATTCTGATTTATCGACCTATAGTTACCATGTTTGTCGCAAAACTTGAAGCTTTCTAAGTTTGATCTCGTAGGGTGTTTAAAGCTATCATCAAACAGTTGTCTAGTGGATATCAGTTCATAATGAATATTACTTTCAAACAAGTGAAATAAATAATTTATTACTTATATTCCACAGACTATGTTTTCTATTGTTTTGTTTGTAAATAGTCCAAAGTATAGAAAAGATAAAGTTATCACTAATGTATAATCATTATCATTTCACTTTAAGTATTGTTTCCAAATAAATTAAAGATATGTTGGCCACTTCATAATAGTAAAAATATATATTTGTGATATCACAACGAATTAAAAATTGAATTTATGGAGTCTTCAAACCTAAGTCAGTTCTTTAAAGAATAGGCAAGTCTTTTTTAAATTCACAGAAGTTGAATTAGTATGACGAACAAATCATATAGAATGTTTACTACATACTGGTAGGTTTGATCATGTTAATGTTATAACATTCAGATCATGCATGATTCTGTTTTTGGTGCACACATGTGTATGTGAATGGGTGGATAAAATTTGATATTCATAATGTGAACTAATCACTTAGTTTGTATGTATGTTTGTGGTATGGCAGTGAATAAACTGTATATCATTACTTGACAAATTTGTCATACTAATTAGATGGTTACTTTACTTATTTACGCCTGTCACCCCCAATGGAGCATTGGCGGTCGACCAGCATTATCCAACCTAATTAATTGGTCACTGGGTGGTGGTCAATGTAATGTATGTCAGATATTTATAAATGCAGATGGAATCCTATCGACCAAGTCTCAATGTTGCCACTAACAAAGACCTGACAAACATGACATTGATCACCATCCAGTGATCAATCAATTGTAAATACATCTCAGTCCAAAAGGAGGTCAGTTGCGGCCTCGATATCTCAGTGGTAATGTCTTTGACTGTGAGGCTGGGTGACACGGGATTGAATCTGTCTGGGAGCATCAGTTCTCTCAAGATAACAGGTACACCTTGCTAACGATTGCCAATTAGCACGAAACCTGTTGACCATCTCCGAGCTACTCTGTCCTGGGCCTTCCTTTCTAGTTCTATCCAGTTGTTGTTCATTCTTCTCATGTCTGTCTCCATTTCCCGGCGTAATATGCTCTTTGGTTTTCCTCTCCTCCTTTGGCCCTGAGGATTCCATGTGAGGGCTTGTAGATATGCTGCTCTTTCTTTGCCGATCCGCGCCTTCACATCTGCATCAGATCCACTGTGCTCATCAGTGATGCTGCCCAGATATGTAAAGCTTTGTACATCCTCCAAAGCTTCTCCGTCAAGTGTGATTTGATTGATGCATGCTGTGTTGTATCGGAGTCGCTTGCTTTTCCCTTTGTGTATGTTGAGACCTACTGCTGCCGAGGGTGGTGCTACAGTGGTCGTCTTCTCCTGCATTTGTTGTTGCGTGTGCCATAGAAGAGCCAGATCATCTGTGGAGTCCAGCTGCAACCTTGCTCTCCACTATATCCCATGCTTCCCTCCAGATGTTGACGTCTTGACAATTTAGTTGATCACCATTAGAAAGAGAAAGGGTGAGAGTAAGCAACCTTGCCTGACACCTGTCTTTACTTGGAACGAGTCTATGAGCTGTCCTCCATGCGCGATTTTGAGGTTTAATCCATCATAGGAATTCCGTATGATGTTGACTGTCTTATCAGGCACGTCGTGGTGTCCTGTCGACTCTATCAAATGATTTCTCGCAGTCAGTGAGGTTGATGCAAAGCGATGAATTCCATTCAATTGATTGTTCCACAATGATCCGTTATGTCATGATTTGGTCTGTACACGATCTATCCTTACAGAATCCAGTCTGGCATCTACGGATTCCTTTATTCTGTTTAACAACACCTTGTTAAAGACTTTTCCTCGTATTGCGAGAAGAGTGATGCCTCCGTAGTTCTCACACTTGCTGAGATCGCCTTTCTTCGGTATTTTGATCAGAAGTCCTTCTAACCAGTCTGTTTGTACTTGTTCTTCATCCCAAATCTTATTGAAGAGAATGTGGAGTATCTTTGCATTTACTGCTATATCTGCTTTCAGTATCTCTGCTGGAATGTTGTCTGGTACCGCTGCTTTGCCGCCCTTGATTTATCTGATGGCCATGATGATATCTTCAATTGTCGGTGGGCCAACATTGATTGGGAGGTCCGTACGTGCTGCTTCGATTTTGGGTGGGTTCAGTGGGGCTTGTTGACTCAAAAGTTGCTTGAAGTTTTCTACCCACCTGTTTCGCTGTTCTTCAATGTAGTGATTACTTTGCCTTCCTTGCTTCTCACTGGTCGTTCTGCTCTATGATAATTTCCAGAGAGCTTCTCTGTTGTATCATACAATTGTCTCATGTTTCCTTCTCTTCCAGCCTTCCCTGCCGTCATTGCTAGATCTTCCACATATTTACGTTTGTCAGTTCTGATGCTCATCTTCATTTTCTTGTTTACCTCTGTGTATTCAGCTTGTACCTCGGCTTTCTCTGCTTATGTTCGGCTGAAATTGATTTCTACATTCTTGTTCCTTCTTTATTGAATCTCATCCAATGTATCAATAGTGGTCCATTCTTTGTGATGGTGCTTCTTGTGGCCCAGAACCTCATAACATGTTGGAGTTATTACCTACTTGATCCCTTTCCAGTTGCTCCTTATAGTAGTTCCCTCTCCATTGAGTAGATCATGAAAGACCTGGAACCTATTGCTGAGAGCTATCTTGAATTCGTTGGGTCTGTCAGTATCTCGAAGAAAGGCCATATTAAAATTTTGTGATATTGTCCGCCCCGTTGTCCAGTGTTTCTTGACTTTCAATTTCATCTTGGCGACCAGCAAGTGATGATATGAGACTATATCAGTTCCTCTCTAGTTCCTCATACCCTCCATCGTCCTCCTGAATATTTTATTGATGCAGATATGGTCGATTTGGTTGTGTGTAGAGTGATCCGGTGAAGTCCATGTGATTTTGTGAATGCGCTTATGTGAGAATATAGTGCCGCCTATGATCAGTTTATTGAAGGCACATAAGTTTGCAAATCTCTCACCATTTTCGTTCCTTTCTCCCAGTCAGTCCATGTCGCCCTATGATGTCTTCATAGCCGGTGTTGTCCATTCCAACCTTGTCATTGAAATCTCCCATCAGAATGGTCAGGTCCTTTGTTGGGCACTTCTCGACTATTGACTGCAGCCTATTGTAGAATTTATCTTTAGCGTCTTCATTGTAGTCGTTGGTAGGCGCATAGCATTGGATGATGTTCATTGAAATGCCCTATTTCTTTGTTTTAAACGAGGCTTTGAAGATCCTTAGTCTATGAGATTTCCATCCTATAGACGCTTCTTGTGCTTGTTTTGATGGCATCAATACAACTCCTTGTGTATGTGGAGCATTTTTTTCTTCATGACCGGAGTATAACAGAAGCCCTTCTGAAGCTAGTTGTTGTTGTCCAACCTGCGTCCAATGAGTTTCACTGATTCCAAGCTTCTCCAGGTTGTATCTCTTCATGACTCTCTCTGTCTCACACATTTACGAGAATTCCATGTACCTAAATTAATGGTTGCTCTGGTTGTAAGAAGGGGCATCAACCTCATGACTTCCGCAGAAACTCGGCTTTCACCATGAGGCGTTATAACTCTTCTGAATGAAGACATCCTAACTCTCAGGTTATAGTTAAAATTGTTTGAATTATGTCTCCTGCTTAGCATCTTTTTAGCGAGTTGGTTTTTTACGGGATGGGGTCGTTAAATCTATGCCCTACTCTCCTCCTTCATTCGAGTTCCAGACTGGCATTAGCCCCAGAGGAGCTCCAGGCTGCCTTCTTTTATAATGAAAATAATAAGATTTAGTGATATATGAAGTAATTGAGTTGCTCATTTTACCCATAGTTACTAAGACATTTTTTAATCATTCGAAAATTCGTAATATCTATAAGATAGTTGTTGAGTTTAGAATATGCGGCTACTGTAATCTTGAAATTCCCACAAGATTATTAGGACTTCTGATTCAATAGCCAGAGTCAATGTCTTAAATTTTACTGCTAACCATGTAGTGGACATGTACGCCAGTGGGGACAATCGGATGTATTTAACACAAAATTACAGGACTTGTTAATAAAATCTAACAATCAAATAGTAAATACGTAATTTGCAAAATGTCCATCAGTTGTCTCATAATGACTCAGACTTCATTGTTCTTACATTTCCATACGAATTGCATTCTATTTCCATTCTTTACTGTTCGATCCTCTTGTTTCTCTGCTGCCAGACCTTTTCATGACTAATATCATATACTACTTATGTCAATATAAGTAGCACACACCACAACCATACTGCCAAATATACTAAGGACTTGCTATTTCATTTAGACTTTTCTTGATATAAGTTACGTTTTCATTGTTTAATGATATCTGCATGCGTCAGCCAGAATACAACCAACTAATATATATTAGTTCAACCGAAGTGTATATTGTTTATTCTTCGTGATCAAATTTATTAACATTATAAATTCTTGAATTAATTAATTGTGCATTCCTCCTAAAACGTAATTTAACTAGATGGAGGGTAATAATAATAATAATAATAATAATAATAGTAATACTAATAATAATAATAATGATAATGACGTGAATTTTATATTCTTAAAGCTTAACAGTTAGTACATAACGTTTTTAATTAATAATACCCCCCCCTCGACGTACAAATTATTAATTATCTAATTTTAATAAAATTGTATCCATCTAATATCACTTTACAGTATGACATTTCATTAGTCAAATCATTCAGTTGACGTAAACCATCTAAAAATTATTCATGCAAAAATCTAGTACACCACCATCACCACCACCACCAACAACAAAAAAGGTTAACAACTAGAAAAAAAAAGATTAAAAATAGAGTAATTCTTTAATAAAATACAATATTACTTTATATGTCATTTGCTGTACATTAATCTGCTGATTATTCTTTTTTTGTTTTATTTTTGTTATATCAAATTGTTTCCATCTAGGTTTATTAATATATTTCTTATATGGAATTAAAAATACTTATCGAATATCAGAAGAAAATAAAAGTGTAATTTCATCAAATTGTCTTAGTGATATAGAATATGAAAAGAAATCATCAAAAAGTAATTCATCAACAGATGAATCAATAGAATTTGTTGATCCAATCAGATTTTGATCAAATGATTTTCACTATTAATTGACATGAATTAAAAATTCGAGAGAAAAAATTTTTTTTTATTTTCTAACATCATATGATTGATTAAATGAGAAACAGCAACAACAACAAAAAAAAAACAAATTAGAGACAGAGAGAGAACTCATGTTACATTACATAGATACATATAATTCTTTCAATCATTTAAGAAGACGATAAGAATAAAGATCATAACAGAATAGTATGGATTCATTTTATTTATTTATTTCCATAGAATTCTGATATCATATATGTAACATTTTATATTAAAAAAACAAGAGACAATATCATTTATTATAAAGATTTTTGGTTAAATTGTAACTTTCTTATTTAAACAAATCCGTATCAAGTAATTTCTTTATAATCTAATGTTGAATATTTTTGGAAATAACGTTTGAATGATAGCGAGGACAGAGATTTTAGAAAAAAAAACGTTTTCATTGATAAGTGGATATATATATGATTGAAAAGTACTAATATTAGAAACTACTTCTGTATCAGTAGGCTTCAACATACATAAAGGAAAAAGCAAGATTCTCAATTACAACATAGAGAGAATACCAAGCAAACCAATCACCTTTGATTGAGAAACTCTGGAAGATTTGGAATGATTCACCTACCTGGGAAACATCATCAATGAACAATGAGGATCAGATGCAGACTTAAAGGCGAAGATTGGCAACGCAAGTGCCATATCCCTACAATTGAAGAATATATGGAACTCAGAATAACTGTCAACCAATATCAAAGTCAAAATCTTCAATACCAACGTCAAGACAGTCTTAATGTGTGCAGTTGAAACTTCCAGAACTACTATAACCATCATCAAGAAGGTACAAGTATCTATAATTAGTTATCTACTCAATATACTCAGCGTACATTGGTCGGATACTATCATCAACAGCCTTTTGTGGGAGAGGACAAACCAGGTTCCATCCGAGGAGGAAATTAGGAAAAGACGATGGAAATGGATAGGACATACATTACGCAAATCATCAAACTGCATTACGAAGCAGGCCCTAACTTGGAATCCGGAATGGAAGCAGAGGAGAGGAAGGCTAAAGAATACATTATGTCGGGAAATAGAAGCATATATGAAAGGGATGAATAACAGCTGGAAGGAGCTGGAAAGGGTTGCCTAGGACAGGGTTAGATGGAGAGTGCTGTTAGGCGGTCTATGCTACTCCACGAGGAGTAACACGCATAGGTAAGTAATATTGGAAACTGAAGTTGTTTGTAGTAGATTTCAAATCCTTGCTTCTTATTTTGTTATCATCAATAAAAGTGAATATATTCATAGTTTTGAAGAATTGTTGCTGTCAATTAAAGTGCTAAATGAGGTTGACAACTGTTGCAATGTTTAGTTTTTCCAATGAATTCAATAAACTTACATTAAGCAGACAACCAACCAGTTAGTAATCATTCATAATCATCAATTTAACAGCGTTATACAAACAGATATTGTATAGTGAAAGTTTTGAAAAAATAGAACTAGTTTACATAATGAATACGGAAATCTTAAGGATAGTAATATATGCCAGGTAGACAATGAAGTAAACAATAAGTCAGGCTTTTTAACCGAAATACACTTAACAAAATATAATTATTTCAGAAGACTGTACTTCAAAATCATTTTATTCACAGGAGTCTCACTGAGAAGTTCACTAACAATTTCAAAAACACATGCATCCAACTCTCTGTTTACAGTAATACTTCTCATTTGTTTGAAAAGATATATGAAACGAAGACAGACAGTTTTGTTTTCACCTATTCTTAAAAATCTCTTACTTATCTCTCTTGGCTAAAAACGAAATATAATATTCTTCAAGTAATGTTAAAAGTATTAGTTATTATCGTACTTCTTAAATTATGCAAAACATGTAAGATCAGATACTTCATAATCAAGTTCGTGATCTAATCATCATTATTTCTGAAGGCTATGAATAGTGCTGAGGTTCGAAAATGTATAGTTCAGTATAGTGTATATAATCATCCGATAAATGTTTTTATTTTGGAACATAAGCTTTTACGATTTGTAATTATTTAGTCATGCTATTTAGTTGATGTTTTCAAATCAAACTGGCTAAAATTAGTAGGTAATTAGTCACTTTATCAAATTAATTTGTTTAATCTGGTTGGCGGTTTTTACAAGATTTTTTCTACGGGATGGAGTTGCCGACCACATGCTCAAACCTCCTCCTTTACCCAGGCTTGAGACCAGCTGTAACTCTGGAAGAGCTACAGGCGGAGTTACTCTATCAAATAGCAAATGAAATGAAATGAAAGTTATATAGGGTGTTGGCATTACAATATCATAGGTTTAATTCTACAAAGCATGTGAGTCAGTGACTTGAGATGGTAAGAAACATAGATCAAAATATATGTCAGTTATAATCCAGTTGTATTTTGTCGAGTTTACAATAACATGCACCAACATCCATTTTCGTTGCATTGTTAAATAAACAGTTTCCTTACTATTTTGTTTAAAATGGTGCATTATCTCGTTTGATACTGTAAAAGATATTATTTAAAGATATAAAAATAATTATTTCCTACACTTTTAGCTATTCCTAGTAGATACCCTTAGATATTTCTAAAAAAGAAACGATCTTATAGATTTTTCCACTAAGGTGTAACTTAATTGGCACTTAGTACCAGTCAATCTTACAAACATGTATTGTGATTATGCAGCTCCTTCAGTTGCTAATTATAAAACACATTTGAATAGTTTAAACTATATGGACGATTTGAAGTTAAATCTCATGAGATAACCATTTAGGTATCCTTCCCCTTACAGTAATGAAAATTGATTGAATAAATCTCCTAAACTAGTTACTCCAAATTTAATGTTTTACTTTTATAAGTTACTGGTTTCTTTATGGAATAAATCATAATTATTATGATAAACATATAGGTTAATTTCTATTTGCAGGTGAAATGAATTTATATTATCAGATGATATGATAGATATAAGAGTTTTAGAGATGACAAGTAATTGTCATCCTCACTGTGAGTTGCCTATTATAACGTGACATTTTATAAGTAGAGACAAAACTGGTTGCTAATTTGTTTTATCATTGAAATGACGAAATACTAGATAATCAATTAATTAAAGCACTAGTTCGTTGTTTATACTGAAATATGTGAGAATTTTCAATATAGTTATACAATGATATAAAGCTTTAAATTACTTTTTGGTTCTTACCAGTCACCAAAAACGTCAAGTTTAGGCAAACTGACAATGATAATAGTCGATTGAAGTGTATGCAGAAAAGATTTTCAAAATAAAGATAGAATTGCATACCAGAAACTATTTTAAAAAATCAGTAAATCCAAATAATCTAAAAGTCAGTATTAATGCAAATTGATATTTAATGACACTTGAAGCCCTGTGAAGAGAAAATGATGGATTAGAAGAGAAACTCCCGAAAATACTTATTTATAGATTGTTAAACACATGTACTACTGAAATGGTTGATAGTAAAGCTGTAGATAACATTTAAATCAAATAAAATCTGAATACTGAAATGATTATTTACTTATATGGTCAAATAAAGATAAGCTAACTGACTATTACGCATATATAAGCGAACAATATTGTTTTCGATTAAATCTTCATCAGGCTTTACTCTAATATACAGTAATATTTATATGCATTTATGAAATTATTCAACCAATCAAGGTAGTTTATAAGTCAATGATAACAATGAAAACGATTACATAATAAGTGAAATGTGAAAAGTACAAATTGATGGTGTGACAACAGGTGCATTAGTTTTGATAAGCAATAATAAAGGTTCAAATCAATGCTCTTTTCAAAATGATAAAGGGAACTATGTGTATGCAATGTTACATAATCGGAAATAGGTCAATGATTAGAAAAATTTGAAACTGAGATAACAATTATAAAATTATAAGATGATGTAATAAGAAATGCATATAAATATTACTGTATATTAGAGTAAAGCCTGATGAGGATCTAATCGAAAACAATATTGTTCGCTTATATTTGTTGTTCTAAATTTACAATATGGGAATATTTCAACGTTTGAAGTCACGTGGGGATCCGATTGCATTTAAGGTGCTCAATGAGTTCCTAGATTTTAATGTTCGTCCCACTGAAGCGAAAACATCGTTGGAATTTATTAATGATTGTATACGGAATGATAGATGACGTAATAAGAGATGTTCAGATAATTGGACCATGAAACGTATAGCTGAGAGAAAATAAAGTGGTAGGAGGGGGTGAAGAAAAATAATAAACGAAGAGAAAGTTAGAAAAAAGAATAAATAAATTCATTTATTACTTAAGGCCAAGGGAGAGACAAGGGTGTTACAAATTTCTTCTGAACACAAAGACTTGGCTTGTTGGCTCGGATTCCTATAGCTTCTGCTATGTGTAAGAGACGAGATCGAACACCATAAGGGAAACTAGTGGGAATACGATAAATAACTTTGAACGACTTGTTTCTGTCCACTATATGACCGCTATCGATCAAGTGTGATAGAACCGAGCTGCGTATTGTTTTGACGTAACCTTTTCCTAACCACGAAGGGAGCTGTTCACTAACTCGTTGGTTCAGTTGCCTGGTGGTGCGCCCAATATAGCTTTCTACACAGGAGCAGCTGAATTCGTAGATATACATAGAAGTGGCATAACCAGGTAACTTATCCTTCGATTGCGGAATCACCATCGATCGGGTAGAATACGATAGGCAGAGGTTGGCAGCATTAAACGTTCTCTTTACTGCTCTAGTCAATCTATCCCGTAATACATCGCTAGCTAAATCACCATTGAATTGCAGCTTCAAGAAAAGCGGTTTCTTATTAGCCGTCAGAGTCACTATTTTCTTGTTTTGTACCCGCAAGTGTTTCTTCAGGAAACCCGGTGGATATCCCAATTCAATCAAAATATTATGAATGTGTTGTAATTCCCTATCAATTGTGTTGACTGAGCATATCTTAAAGGCTCTATTTGCAAGACATTTAACTAAGTTTCTCTTATAATGAAGAGGCACAAAGCTTAAAAAATGTGTGTATTGGCTTGGAGAAGAGCTTTTTCTATACACACCTCTGCTGATA